GATAAATTCATTTAAGTGTATTACGGAAATTCTTCGAGACCTTGAAAGCGTCAAAGGAAGTATTGGATAAAATACAGCGGTTTTATCGAAAATTATAGTAGGACTGGAAGAAAGGATCAAAAAGATTGAATAAAAAATTGTATTTTAATTGGAAAGAATGTCTAAGCACCAAATAATTGAAGAAATCCACCGATCTGCCCGTCGAAATTTTCCCAGAAGAAGGACTATTGTAAAAGGATATGCCGACTTGTGGCAGAGTGATTTGGCTGATATGCAAAGTTATAAAGATGAAAACGATGGTTACAGATATATTCTAATTGTCATCGATTGTTATACAAAATATGTGTGGGCGAGACCATTAAAAAATAAAACAGACTTACATGTTAGAAATGCCTTTTTAGATATACTCCAAAATTGCGCACGCCATCCTAAAAATCTACAAACGGATCAAGGGACAGAATATTATAACAAGGAATTTGGGAAAGTAATGAAAACATATGATATAAATCACTATTCAACTTATAGTACAATGAAAGCGTCAATGGCAGAACGTGTGATTCGTACGATAAAATCCCTATTATATAAAAAAATGGCTATGAGAGGGAAATACAATTGAATAGATATTATAAACGGTGTCATTAATAAGTATAATAACACCACGCATTCAATCATAGGTATGAAGCCAATAGATGTCCTGCCGACAACTAAACTCAACCAATATAGGCAAAACAAAAATAAAGTAAGGCGTAAAAAACCGAAATATCATGTCGGCGATATCGTAAGAATAAGTAAATATAAAAGCATATTTGAAAAAGGGTATACTGCTAACTATACAACTGAATTATTCAAAATAAGAAAAATAAATAGCACATACCCCGTAACATACATTCTAGAAGATATGAATGGTCAATCGATTAAAGGCTCATTTTATGAGTTGGAATTATTAAAAACAAAGTGGAAAGATGTTTATTTAGTGGAAAAGGTCATTCGGACGAAAGGGGACAAAGCCTTGGTGAAGTGGTTGGGATTCCCACAGCAAGAAAACTCTTGGATTAATATAAATGATATTGTTTAGTATGGATATTAAATGAAATAAAGATTAAAAAAAAAAAACCAGTTTTATTTTCCTATTAACTACTACATATACAATAATAAAATAACTTACACTTAAATATATACAGAAAGCTTAAATAATAAACAATTATACAAATTAAATCTAAAACTAATATATAGAGGGTCATTGGATGCATAACAAAGCCGCCGTATTGCAACCTCTGACTCCTTTATTTCAAGCGCCGATGCATACAGGGCAAACATTTGTGTCGCAGAAGTGGGAAATATATCGGGCGCATACATCACATGTTTGCGGATCCTCCAAATCCTCCCCTTCTACAACAAAATGCTGATGCTCGTGTATGTACCTGGCATTTGGATTTCTTTCGACCTCCATCTGCTCGTAATGAAGGAAGCAGGGGTTGCACAGACGTTTGCTCCGTTCCATGCCGGGAATAACCAACTTCACAATAACGGAGCTGGTTGTAACGCAGAAGTGGTTACCGCCTCTGGCCTGAAATACAGCCAGCTCCCTTCTTATTGAAGTCGGTGATCCAGGGCAATCAGCCTCAATGCCCTCATCGTCGTCGTCGCTGGCGGGCTCATCGGCGGGTGGGGCTGGACCAATGGCGTCTGCACCCTCTTCGGCGGGTGGTGCCGGACCAACAGCGCCCAAATCCTCGTCGGCAAGTTGAGCTAGACCAGCCGCGCCTTCTCCATCACCATCGGCAGCGGCAGCAGCATCAGCAGCCTGTAAAGAAGTATATTGATTAGATATTTTATAAGCATATTGATTAGTAATTTTATAAACATAAGGTAATAGTTAAAAACTTACATCACGTTCTAGGGCGGCCCAAAATTCATCAATGCCTGGCTTGTTGGCATCAAAGCGCGCTACTAAGGCCAGTTGACGAATGATCTCCCTAACTCCTGCATCTTCTTCACCTTGGTATTCATTCTGGTTGTTCATGTCGGTGGGCAGGTCAGCTACACTTAAATGTCTGATGCTGGTACGTGGTCGGGACCTCCTTATATATATGTTATGTATTTCCACCTCCACTTCACCAACCCACGAATTTACCACCTCCCCTGCATTACACCGCGCTCAGTTGAGTTTGGCTAGTTGGAAAGTTGGAAGTCAGAAAAAATTTTACTCTAGCATTAATCGGTGCTCTGCAGATAATACAACTAACTACAGATCGACTGCAACTAACACAAGATACAGCATGTCCGCATGGTATAAAAACTATTTGTACCTCTTTATCGACACAAATCTTGCAAGTCAGGCGTTTACTAATAGAACGACCATCACTTAATGTATGCATAGTAGCACGAGGTCTTTAAACAGAATGTGGACAACTATATATCTGAGGCTGGATGGACTCTTTTAATAAAAGGTTTGTGGATAGATGTTGAGTGGGGGCCAATTACAATCAGCGCAAAATTATACTTTTTCGCCCACTGGCGGTCTAGTTATTTAGAGTTTTTTGTTTGTTGGTTCTGATTAGGGAGTTCGTTTCCACACCATCTTATATATTACAACTAGTCTATCAACATAAACTATTTATAATATAAGGAGATAGAACTCACGGCGCGTTGCTATTTTTAACGTGGTAGCTCCCCTATAGGCCTATGACCATGAATACACAAACAAAAAAATGCCTCTACGTACCCTGCCACGAACATATGTTATCTATTAACTTTTGATAGTCCGCCCTCCGAGCGCACCCCTGTTCGGTAATTTCATCATAGCGCTTCTTTACAATTTCAGCGGCCCTCTTCTTTGACTGATACTCAGAATGGGACTCTTTGATCCTACCAATCTCGATGCCCACATCCTTCTGCCTTCGATGTACAACACCCTGATGGTGGAGGATCTCATCCATCTGCCCTTTTAAATCACCTAATCGCAGTTTGATGCCGGCATCTTCGTCTGTCAATTCTTCAGACTCGTACTGAAGTGGCGCTAAGGCTACCTCAATATCCTTTTCCATATCGTCCACCACCATCTTCAGTTGCTTGTATGTGGATTCGGTGATTTCAATCTGATCTCTATCGGTCTTTAACCGCATTTGCATATTAATTATGGCGATGTTGGCGGAGCTAAGATCCTTCGCCATATCGCCGTCATCAATCAGCATCGGAATTGGTGTAGCCCTAATTGTGGGAGTCACACTTGTTGATACTACTGCCTTTAACTTCTTCGCCGGCGTTGTCTTCAGCTTCTTCGAAGTCCTCGGCTTCTTACTTTTCGGCACAACCACTCTTGGTCTCGTGGGTTTCGACCTACAGGGCCCATCGTTGGTTTTGCCGACACGTTTTGCATTTTTCGTCATGACCGGTACTGGCAATGTAGGGACAAGCACATTGCTAAGAACATGAATCTTCTTCGGCGCCTGAAACTCATCCTCACTGTTGTATACCGGTAACGGGGCCGGTGATGGAGTCGGTAACGGGGCCGGTAACAGAGCCGGTAACAGAGCCGGTAACGGAATGTCGCCCACTGACTGCGACAACTCCATCGGAGATACCGGTGAAGGAACCGTGTTAAACAGTAGCATCTCGTCAAAATCAAAATCCACCACATCGAAGTTATAAGTGTCGGCTTCCCCCATTATCGACAGGATGCTGTTGGTAGCTGCCGTGGTTTCTTCATTTGAAGGCATCTTAAGTAAGAGTTGGTTCGGTTTACTAGAAAAATAGCACAGAGAGTTAGGTAGTTTATTTAGCGAGCTAAAATAAACTGAATTTCTTACCACTGGTCCCCGTATATATAGTGATAGGTGAAAGAGTGGGAAGTGGAGGGGAGATAGTGGGAGTCTCTCACGGCCTCATGTTTTAAAAAACGAGCATCGCGCATCTAGGGCAATACTTTACGGGGCATTTAGTCGAGTACATTTTTATTGACTACCAAATGCAAATGATTTGTTAGGAGTTTTTTTGTTGGTTCTAAAATGAATAATTTTTTTTGTTGGTCCTGAAAAAGGCAATTTTTGGACGAAGGCCGCCGACCTATTGCGAGTCAGAATTGTTGTCTGAGTCTGACACCGATTCGTCGGACATTGAGTCATCCGACTCAGTGTTCGGCTCGGTGTCATACGACCATTCATCCATAATTAGGATGCGGGAGTCGCATGGGCTGGACGGTGACGATGGTCGGTGAGGTTTTAGATCCGTAGTTGAATCACATCGGCCATCCGAATCTACTCCTACTCCCCCTGTTATAATTTCGGTTGTAGAGTCGTATTGTGCTACTTCAATAACGTCGGCCATGACTGTCGTCAATAGTTATTTAGGGCAGACTGAATTTTAGAGCCCGGGCGCTGGGTAGGTATGGTACACAAAAAGAGTGGGGAGAGTGGGAGAGAGTGAGAAGAGCATCGACGAGACTTTTTCATCGAAAAAAAAAAGTAGAAAGGGGAAAAATATGTATATTACAAACTTTCAATTTACATTTATTCTAATAATAGTTTTAACAGTTAATCTAATATATTTTCTTCGATGTTGCTTTGTTGCAGCTATTTTGCTCTGGTTGGAACTTCCCCCAGGTTTTATTCAGCGTCGCATGGTCAATAATGACTTGTTCTCTGGCGATTATGGTTGCTATGTTGATAGACATTTTTACGGCTTTTCTAGTTGGGCTGGATAAGGCAGAATGAATATCTGACCATGAGCACCTACTATTTATTGTGGTAGGAATGAGTATGGAGTGGAGGGGGAGATAGTTGGAAATTTTATAAAAATAAACTTTTTTTTTTGTTACATATATATTACAAACTTTCAATTTACATTTCTTCTAATAATAGCCTTAACAGTAAATCTAATCTATTTTCATCGCTACTATTATTTACAATATTGGCTACGTTATACCGTAACTCGGCTATAGTTTTTCGAGGTCCATTACGATATTCCTGAATGTCTTTGTGACCCCACGGTAGAGTTTTTACGGTATTTGGTATTATAAACCTTTTCTCATCGTTGTAAGATAATGCAACTTTATTTTTCATTTCAGTATATATATCGTGTAACTTACTCCTGAATGTATTCATTTTTCTAAATATCTTACCCCCACCTTCTACAATTTTTTGGTAGTCCGTCATGTTTAAGCTGTTTTGTATTACGCATTTTTTTACGCCCTTAGCGGTTTTGGTTTCTTTCTCATCTGATCTAATATAATAGGCCTTGGCGCCTGTCCCTAAAAATATACTGATAGCCTGATTTGGATACTCATCTTTGAAATTTCCCAATATTGGTTTAGTTACTGGTAAGTTAAATTTATTATCAGATTTATAATTAGATGTGTCGAAATGTTCAATATTTCTTTCCATAAATTCATAAAAATTTATTGAATTAACTTTTAGCACAAAACTATCGGTATCTGTATAAAGTAAGGAAATTTTATCACCTAATTGTTGTTTTAATGTGCCGTAATAGAAATCATACATCCTTACTTTTGACAATTCCAACACTGTGAAACCTACGTACAGCGGTTTGTTATAACATATTTTAGTTCTACCCATATGTATAGCCACAAAGTGTTGTGAAAATATGGAACAAGACTTAAAATTTGGTCTAGCGATTAAGTTGTTTGCCCCCGGGGAATTTCTCTTACTAGCCCAGTGAGTTTTAAGGTAAATATCACATCTGTCATCCACATTTTCCATAGTTTTCCCGTGCACGCTATTAACCATACGCTTAAAATGATTTTTCTCTGATGTGTCCTTAGCGCTGTTTCTCATATTTGTATTGAGATCTATATATTTTTTCAGCCAGCGAGATTGCTTAAATTTGAGAGCTCGATGAATTTTAGTTACAATTAGCCCATTATTTATGGCTTGCTTAAAGTTTCTATAGTGTAATATGTATTTGTCTTTATGATTCAAATTGGGAACCAGTTTGGGTATTTCTGTTTTTGAATGGGGTGGAATTATATTCTCCACTAAAAATGGTAAATCGGCATGTTTATCATGGAGGTGATGCGGATATGTTACATCAACTTCTAATACATAACCATATTCCCCGAGATCATCAACTGACATAACGTCGAGCTGATTAATTTCCTCAGTCGATAACCAAGCAAATTCTCCTGTCGGTAGGGGCTGACTCATGCTATACCCATAGAGATTTGTCGCATCAATATAATGTATAGAAGACTTTGGCTCGAAAGGATTATATTCGGATAAAAATGGATTATTGGCAATATGTTTTCTTTCCACACATTGGCTGATACCGCCACGTATACTATTTTTGAAGAAATTAATCATATCTATATCCGTTAGCAATTCCAACTCTACCCTGGTGTAGCGCAACATCGCATCCCATGACAAACCTGGAGATGTATAATATTGCGCTGGATCTAGTTTATATGCCCTAAGTGATACATCCCTAAAATTTTCAAATATATCGCATAACATTAAAAACATCTGATTTTAAATATAAATCAGAATAGGATCCCAAAGTTTGACATTTAAATACATTCCAAACTTTCTGAGCCCTCGCATAATCCTCATCGGATATATGGCGATCATTTAGCTTGTCATAAAAATCCTGTTTTGAAGGTAAATTGGGGTGATCTAATTTCATTATATTATCCATGAAATTATATGGAAACATCCCTTTCTGCCTCATTAAATCGAATTTTTCTTTTTCTGCAAAACATTTCCTTGTTTCTACGAAAAATTCTGATGGTAAATTTTCTGACAACCCAACCAAGGAATCAGCTAAAAATCTGTAACTATCTAAAAATCTAAGTTTTATGTAATTTTTTCTCATCATACCGTCTCTATCTACATAGCTATGGGTGTACAACGGTTTAGTAAACGAAATATATTTTTCTTTATTTTGAGCAATAACTTCGGCTCTCTCGCCTTCACCATACAATTCTTTAATAAATAAATGACTATCGTACCCACTCAAATTATGAAAAAATATTGGAACAAATTGCGGGATTTTATAATTTAAATTACAATTACTGTGTGCGGCGCCAGGTGTTTTCTTACCGGTAATATGGCAATGATCTCTTACTTTAACATCACCATCCTGAAAGGCCTCATCGCAAATAGAGCATATACTCGATGTATTAAAATCATCTATTTCATCATTAGATAACTGGTGCAAAGGAACAACATCTTTTAAATACGTATTATAAATAGTTAGAACATCGTCTTCTAGCCGTTTCACGAAATCGCTACCGGCATTGTCACCAGTAAAAGTTACAAATTTCGTCAATGAATTATCAAATGAACATTTAATTAAATATGCAAAAGAATATGGCTCATGTCGGTATGTAGGGATAGTAAATTTTTTTTCCGGATCTGGTTCGCAAATATCTATAGGTTTTAAGATCGATTCGAAATCGGCATAAATTACAAATGGAACCCTTAGCTGCTTATCATAATTTTGAAACTTGAGTATATTTTCAGGTACATAATAACCGCGTTTGTCTTTTTTTAGCTCTACTGATGGCGTGCAGGTATATATATGATTACAGTCGCTCAATTGGTGCCGCAATAGGATGCTTTCAGATCGAAAATAAAGTAAACAGCCATCACAAAAAACATTTTTATGACCATTTCTAGTTATTTGACTCGACACTAATCTGGAAAGACTTTTAATCCAACAGTAGTGACTATTACCCGAATCAGCCGTTATTAGTAGTAAATTTATATGATGACCTAACCTTCTACGGGAATATCGTAATGGGCCTACTATTTCAAATTTCGCCTTACCGTTTTTATAACTACGTTCCAAACCATAAACATTAACACTTATATCATTTAGGTCTTCAAATTTTGAAATGTCTTTAAGCTTCATGGGAAATTCAATACCCTCAACATTCAGCACGTTCTCGAAGTGTGGATACGACGACGTTTCGCTAACATGCTCTCTCGCTGGATATAGTGCCGATGTGATGGCCCAAGCAAAGCAGTACGCATCATTATTTTGCACATTAACTACGCCCTTCTTGGTTTCAATAAACTTGGGTAGCTTTATGTGCGAGCAGCCGCCTAATGGAGAGTACTTATTTATATTTACTTCTAAAAATAGTACTTCCAGTAACGACCAGCCTGAAACAACGAATAATTTATTAGTTAACGCCCTATTATACACTATAAAAACTACAATACCTGAATCCTTATGTTGAAAGTCTACAGTTTGAGATACCGCCGCATCCTTAAAGTCCGCATATGTCGCTTCCAAATCCGCCGACAAATCTAGTATTCGATTTATGCTATTAAAAGATTTGATTTCAGAAATATCTTGACTCTGCAACACATATGTAGCGAATACCTCTACTTTAACTTTAATGGCATTATGGACCCTCAGAACAACTTTTAACAATTCCAATACTCTACATTTTACCGCATCAAAAAATGTTACATAATCTATATGTTTTTTATCACTTTTGACTCTGTAACTTGCAATTCTGCACTTAAACGCACTCTGAATTAAATATATACCATCGGCATGAATTGAGCAGGCTTTTTCTTTATGGTCAAGGCTCTTCATATGCGATGACATCTGATTGGTAGGGATGTCTACATTACATGATTCACATCTCCCATTACGCGCTTTTTTTATTGGTAGAACATCAGGGCTTGAATTGGTAGATCTTTTCGTACCACGCGATGATTCACCGGTGCGATTAGGTATTATTCTGATGTCGATGTAAATTATCTATCCTTGTAAATGTTAAACCACAATTACACTTATACATGTCTATTATTTTTATGATAATTTCGATATTAGGTAATGGAACTTACAACGCGCTTAAAGCTCACGAGTTTTGTACTGATTTCATTTGAATATGGGTGCTACTATATATCCTCTCTAAAATCTCCACCTCTCTTATGCTCCCCTCCCCTATTCATAATATACAAGCCTGAGAGGCGGTCGCAAATTGTGTTAAGAATGGGGTACTATCCCTTCCACCGATGTTTACGTCGTGCGTGTCTGATGGAGACTTGTGCTCCACTCTAGCTATGACGGTTGAGAGTCAAGGATGTGTTTCGGTATGCTCCGACGTATTTCCCTTATGCTACAATAGTAATCACTCATATGTACTTGAACTAAACCCATTACACTACATGATATACATAGCAATTACTATCTAAGAGGTACTTACTATGCTCGTTACACGCTACTCGATATACATAGTAAATACTTATATCTATATGCGTATGAAGTAATTACACTTATTACACTATGCAATTACACTTTGAAATTACACTCTGCAATTACACTATGCAATTACACTATGCAATTGCACTATGCAATTACGCTCATTGGGAGGTACTTGCTAATTGCGCGAAGGGTGGGGGTGGGTACTTATGATAATTACTAATTACCTCTCATTACCTCCCGTCCAGAACTGGCCAATCACAACTACTCACTTTACTCGCTTTTTTACGTTTTATAATTTAATATTTAGTTGTAGCAAGTTAACGAGCTATAATTTTTTATAGCTATAACATTTTTAAGCACAAGTAAGATTACAATTAAGTGCATCTGTCTAAATAAGGGCGTATAATAACGCCCAATTTATAATTATTCGATTTCCTTTTAACGAATACTTTCTTGCATATGATATATATATATTAAAAGTATTAATAAAATAAATTTATAAAATGAGGTAGGTATCTACGCCTATGGCAGATCAAACAAAATTGTCGGTAAAGGTTCCGAACGAGTTTTTATGATCTGCAATTGATAATGGAAGAACTATATCTCTTCTAATGCCCCTACCTCAAGATATAGGAACCATTGTATTTATAAACTAACAATCGGCAAGCGTTCGAGAAATATTGTTTTTAGGAGAATTTAGGATAAGTACTTACAAAAATAACTATTTTAAATATGGTATTAGGCAGTGTTTGAGATTAAAAACATAGGAACAAAAAAAGATTGTTACTTTAAAAGAAAGAATTAAAAACCAGCTGCTTTAATTTATATAAAGCACAAAAATTAATATTTTTAATAATAAAACACGTAAATACAATAAAAGTAAATATTGGTTTTATCTAAAAATAATAAATGTATAAATTATTATGTTATTGCATTAAATACAAAATCCAAACAGTTTGTTTAGTTGTGCAGCAGAGTACCTAATAACTCTTCAGCAACAATAAAAAATAATTAAATGTAAGATTTCAGTTTTGCCGGACATTATAAACACTTCAATAAATTTTAAGTTATGCATGTTGTAACGATAATAATACTACGCCACTGGTTTCCCAAACATACCTCGAAGCTTCTACCCATAGTTACATAAAGGGGGCCCGGCAACTTTGGCAAGGACGATTTTTACTTCTTCAGAAGTTCGGCACAAGAGGGGGGAAGTTTTTACTTAAAGACCTTTTTTTAGAGACTTAGTAAAGAGGAGGAGAAGGTTTTGCTTGAATGCCTCTTTTTTTCTGAAATTCAAGTAAAGAAGAGGAGAAGTTTTTGCTTGAAGACTTTTCTTTTAGAAATGTGGTATTAAAAAGGGATTAATTTTTTATAAAATTGTCGCGGGGCCCGACCTAGAGAATTGTCCCGGTGCCCGACCTGGCTCTTGGCGGCCCTGTGCGTTTCCTTCCACTTTAATAAGCGATAGAGAGGGTATCTCTTTCCACCGCTAAGATATATAAAAGGAGAAGCACTCGATCAAACTGTAGGGATCACAATATATCCCCTGTAGTAATGTCACTGGGATTCAAGAGATGGTTTTGAGTTACGCCGCGGCCAGGCGCAGAGCCACATGGCGCTAATATCGTTTTGAATTTTGACACGTCTGACATCGGCACGTTTATTGATTGAATACGAAATTTTTAACAAGCGAAGCGTGAAGTGTCAGTATTGACAAATGATAATTTTTTTGATTTTTTCTTCTACTAAATTTACACCGTTTATTTTTTTTTGGTGTGTCGTTGGCTTCAACCGCTAAGGTTATTTCGCTTCGTGTACTGTGTAAACTTTGTTACTGTTCCCCAGAGCTACTTTAGGAACAGCACTGTTAATTAGAACCCAACAGTGAATGGTCGGGTGGGGAATCCTACCAAGGCATCATTATTTTAAATAATTAAATTAAATGAAAAAATTCCGGCCAACGGTGGGATTCTAACCTGGGACCGTTGGATCCACAGGCAGAGACTATACCACTGAACCACCCACCCTTTTAAAATATACTGTTTATTAATATTAATTTTGTTTCAGCGGTATTTATTGTGATTTGTGTTGTTGTATTAAGTGCTTACTTATTTAATATGGAAAGCAAAACGTACAACAAACTCAGACAAAGAGGATTCAAGGAGGTTCTGCTATGGCTGTCATCCAAGGTTACCGTCCTAGATAATACTTTCCCAGTGGGAAAAGCCTTTAAAATTCAAGTATAACAATTTGCCCAACTTGCCTCCGCCTCTCGGCAGCGACTTGGAAGGGTCAGCTGGCTTCATGCCGAAGTACAGTTTTTTATCTTTCTCTACCTTTGAATGGGTGAGATTGTTTATTTTTAAGTGTTGGGATGAGCCCCCACGTTTTTTCTTAAATTGCAACCACCTTTTAGGAGTGGTTCTGTTATTTCTTACGACTCAAGCCTCAAGTTATGGTGGAGAACAGGGACCGTATTGTGGCAACCCTTTTTTAATCTAGTTATATATTAATTTTCATGCTTCTTCTAAATTTATTGACGATGTCTCTGATGATGGCCTAACAGGCTGAAAGCGCTCAGACTAATATTACTGAGTTTTATTATTAATAAAACCCTACCTACACACTTTAAATACTTTCAATTCATTTCTTATTACCCAGTGTGTACACACCACTCAACCTCTTCATAACAATTTTATGTTTCACTTTTCCCTTCTTTTAATGTAGGTGCCAATTGTGACATTTTTCATATTTTTCAGTTAATATCCTCTAATATTATAATTTAACTAAGATCTTATGCCTTTCTATGGACACAATTCAAAGAGGGAGTTCTACGGCTGTCATGCAAACCCTAGATAATAGTTTTCCAGCGGCAACACCCTTTAAAATTCAAGTATAATAATTTGTTGGAGTCATTATTCTTAAATCTACATTCTATAGAATTTATAATTTTATATAAAATACTATTATGGGTTTCAACTTCATAGTTTTTCGGCTATCTTTTATGGGATCAATATCACTCATGTCGCGACTTACGGACTTTAATTGTGATATACAATTCATTCATTTCGTGGCATCTTAGTAAGTTTATTTACTAACAATATTAATTCCAATGGTTCAATATGGGAGCAGCTAAAGTAAGTATATGCAGCTTCATATTTCTTTCCTGTATAACTTAATCCGCGTTTTCCAATAAAAGTTGCGTCAAATTAGCATGAAAAAAGTGAAAATGGTCAAGTTTTTGCGGAGAGGTCCGATTCAGATGCAGTTTTCTGCAAAATGTTTAGGAAACCGTCTATAACAAAAGGTATATCTAACCTCTGTATGCTCGCAAATTCTTAATTGTTTATTTAACAAATGAGGCATTTTTGTTAAAGTATTGATGAATATGTGGCAAATGTCACACACGGTTCAACGAAAATGTCTGGAAAATGTTCTTTCGGGAAGTTTAGAGGTCGTTCTTTATCACTTTGGTGTTAAATTTATTATTTATTTCTAAATTGTTACAACTTGTCTAATTAACAAATTAAAAACTCAACCCCTGAAATCACCTACTGAAGATGCAGCTCTACAACACATCAAGAAACTTTATCTCCAAATTCAATGCTGGATGGGAAACATTTTGGATCCCAGTAACTGGGCTGCCCCATCTGCTCTATTAGATGTCATATCTTGTTCATGCATAACCACAGGTTGTGCAACAGTGTGTGGGTGCAAGAAAGCGGGATTGTATTGCACTGCAAAGTGTGTGAATTGTGCCGTGAATGATTGCACAAACTGCAAACCTGAGCTTATAGAAGATGCAGACGATGGCGATCCGGCTGCTGTTGATTTTGTACCTAACAAATGAACTTGGTGATTTCACCAAAATTTTTAAACTATAAAAAAAATATTAAAGTATTAACTACAATTAAAAATGTTGTCTACTACGGTTACACAAGTTTCGGTTGTTCCGGTGTCAACCTTCGGGCCTTCGACTTCGCTCAGACGGCAGCTAGGGGGTGGATAGCTTACAAAAATTCCGGAAATAGTAGACAAATAAATAGGCGCCAACTGGCTCTATATAGTGGCCAAACTATGATCCTATTTCCCCAAAAACCCAGTAAATGAGGAAAGAAATAAAAGACAAACCTCAACTT